TAATAAATTTGGAGAGTGGATACATAACATGACCATTCCAAAACTGCTGAATTCATTGCCGGATGAAATATTAGAAGTTACATCTAAAAGGGAATTGAAAAAAAAGTTCAAAGACTAGTACACAAGATACTAGGCATGACATGAAAATAGATAGCTCAGGAGTTATCTCTTTAACTTGTTGCCTTTTGCCATTTTGTTTTATTTACAATTTATTTGTTAATTTAAAGATCGAAAAAAACTCGAAATTCCAATAAAAACAATTCACGTATCATACAGTAACTGGCAAACAGTACTGATGACTGGGTGAACTATTATCAACAAGGGTAATGCAAAAAAGGAAAAGAAAGATAAAACAAAACAAAATAAGCGTACAATGTAACACACCCCTCTTTGAGAAGTACATAAAGTACTTAGAGAGGGTTTGAAGTGTACCGGATAAGATAAAATAAATGTAATAAATATATTTAAATTTAAAATTTAAACCTGATAAGACCAGAATTTTTACTGAAAAGTTAAACAGGATGTAAGTAGTCAAACAAAATTGGTATTCTTATGGTTTTTTATGGTGATGGTTTATGTACACTGTCAATGTAATTCTTTTGGAAATAAATTATTTATTAATATTATTTATTATTATTAATTATTATATTTATTATTATTATTATTATTATTATATTCCGTTGATAAATACTACTCTTCCTTGACAATAGTGTTTCGGGTGCCACGAACCTAGGGAATCAAATTAATCAAATGAGTGATGATTTGAACCCAAGAGTTAAGGATATTGTAATGAAAGTGCTGCAGTATATTAATTTTATGCCGGAGAAACTTCATGAAATGAACTGAGCGTTTCAGGCAAATATTAATGAAAATAAACTTTTAAAAGAGGAAATTAAAATAATGAAAGATAAGGGCAAAAAAAGAATACTGAAATTGAGACTGAATGGTAGACTAAATAAATTAGAGCAATATAAAAAAAGAAAAACCATAGAAATTCATGGCATCAGGAAACAAGAGGACAAAACTCCTCCTCAACTATACGAAGACATTGCGGGAAAAATTGGAAGCAAATTAGAAGTGAGAAGTGTGCAACACATGCAAATGAAAATCTCTGCCATGTTGATGGTGAAATTCAAAAGTGAGCAAGATAGAAATGACTACATATTCAAAGGGAAAAAGTGGTGGAACACTATGAACTATGAACAAAAGAAAAAACAGGATAGACTTTTCTTCAGTGAAGCACTTATTCCTGAATTTCAGAATCTTCACCGAGAGGCCAGAATTAAAGGGAAAACCGCTGGTTTCAAATTCGTGTGGGTCAAAAGTGGTAGAATCCTCATAAGAAAACAGGAAGATAGTGTGCATACCATAACATAGCATAGCATAGCATAGCATCTGAAAAGAGCTAGAGGTTACTAAATAAGAGAAAAAAAAATACTAGAAAGGTAAGCAATTATTATGGACTGAAACAATCAAATAATAATTAATACTCAAATTAATTTTAAAAAGTGTTCGGAACTAAAAGATAGGGAAAAGTTTAGAAAAAAGAATTCCATTAGTAATCACTATAGCTTAAATATCTTCCATGTAAATATTAAATCCCTTCGTAAATACTTCGAACAGCTGCAGATAATTCTCAATGAAAGCAAATTTGATATCATCTGTTTAACTGAGGTTAATATTCATGATGAGATTCATCTGTTTCAGATCAAAAATCACAACATGGTATACAACTTAAGAAGCAGAAGACTAGGTGGTGGCATAATAGTATATTTTAATACTAATCTGGTATTTAATGAAATCAAATTTAGTACTAGTTACTTTGAAAATGTGGCAGGTTCATTCAAATATGTTGCCAACAATAAATATAATGTGAATGCAATCTTCATTTACAGACCTCCAAATCTGAGTGAAACAGGATTCATTAATGATATAGGAGAACAAATTGTATGCTGTAATGCTCATGATTTATTTGTAATAGGTGATATGAACCTTAATGTCTTGGACAAAAGTATATTTGTCATAAGAGTATGAAGTTATGATGTATAGTAGAAGTTTAGTTAATGCTAGAAAGAGTAACAAGGGAAGAAATGAAAGAGGAAACTCAGCAATTCCCTGCTAGATCATACGTTCATTGAGTCGAAAACGAAAGAGATAAAGTCTGCAGTTATAGAACACAAATTCTCTGACCACTATCCAACTGTCACTTATTTAACCTGGAATAATGCTGTAACTTCTAATAACCCTTGTGTAAATACAAATTTTAGATTAAAATATGATGATAAGAATATAGACAGGATTATAAAATTGACTGATTGGACAGGATACTCCAATCAAGATGTTAATTTATTCTGCAATGAGTTGGTAAATAAGTTTACCTGTTTAATTTATATACATATATGTGTCCTACTGTACTTATTGTGTTCTATGTATATATGATTTGTATATATGTATTATGTGTATATATGGTATATATGTATATATGTATATATGTGTATATATGTATATGTTTAGTATGTATATGTGTATATATGTATAAGTATATAGTATGTGTATATATGTACTATGTGTACTATATGTATGTGTATATTGTATATATGTGTAATATGTAATATATTTGTTTATCTTATATGTGTATATATGCTATATATGCTGTATATTGAGAATATATGTTATATATGTATATATGTATATATATATGTATATATATATGTATATATGTATATATGTATATATGTATATATGTATGTATATATGTATGTATATATGTATATATATATATATGTATGTATATATGTATATATATATGTATATATATATATGTATATATATATGTATATATATATATGTATGTATATATGTATGTATATATGTATATATATATATATGTATGTATATATGTATATATGTATATATTAGAGAGACAAAGTTTGGATTACTGGCCATCTGCACAATAAAATAAAAGCTGAAAATAGTCTTTTCAAAAGATGGAAATCAATTCCAAAAAATAATTCCTACAAGCTGGCTTACACAAAGTATAGAAATAGATTAAATAATGAGATACATACAGCAAAAAATGATTACTTCAAGTCTCGATTTGAAAATAAAGCATCTAATAGTAAACAATTACAGTTTGAATTAAATCAAAAAACAAAAAACAAATAAAAGATGTAGATGACAGAATTACAAACTTATTTGGAAAAAATAAGAGTATACAAAATATTGATGATGATTTTGCTGATCAATTTGTAAATCAAGCATGTAGAGTAGGGAATAGAATTTATGGTTGACATGAAAAGGATGATATTTACGAGAAACAACTAGAAGTAAGCTGTTACATCCTATTTACCAATCCAATGGTAATTAAGATAATTATAAAAAAAATTAATGTTAATAAAAATACTGGTTACGATAAGATAAGGACTTGAGATATATGTAACAACATTGAAATATTTTGTCAGACGCTATCCATTCTTATCAATATCATCAAGAGGTTAGGTGTCTTTCCAGACTGCATGAAGCTATTAGACCTATTTATAAAAACGGTGATGCTACTGAGCTAACAAATTATCGCCCAATCTCAATATTGTCGGTTATTGAAAAAATCATGGAAAAATATATTGTAACTAGATTAAATTGTATCTCACAGATAATAGTATTATTGACGAGGGTCAGTACAGGTTTCTAAAAGGGAAAGAAACTGAACAGCTACTTAACAAAGTAGGCAACTATATTGCAGGGCAATTAAATAATGGACAAGGAACTCTTGCATTATATATAGATTATAGTAAAGCATTTGATACGGTTGACCACAAAATATTAATAAAAAGACTGGAAGAAATGGAGCTCCAAGATCGTTTTCTAAAGGTTTTTGAGAGTTACATATGAAATAGAAAATTCATTGTTAAACTTGCAAATACAGAAAGTTTCTTAAAAGAAGTTAAATATGGTGTACCACAGGGAAGTCAATTGGGACCAGGCAACGTAAAAAAAATGTTATGTTCTTTTTGTTTTGATTTATTTACTTTTAGACTATATTTTATTTGAAAATATATTAATTATTTTGTACTTCAAATGGTGAAGTTTTTCTTTAAAAATGTGTATATTATAGTAATTATAAAAATATGCATTTACTATAATTTTTATTTTAATTATTATTTTCTTATAACATGAATATTATTATTAAGTTAGCCCTGATTTACAGAAAATAGAAAACTAAGTAGTACATGAAAATGTGTGCCATTCTTTTACACCATTGGTGTACAATTTCTTTGCACCACTAATTCCAATCTGTGCAATTTTGCAGCACAAACTTTTATAAGCATATTTTTATTTTTCTTAGCAAATATTTCTCAGAAAAAAGAAATTGCAGCCATTTTGAGAAAATTTTAATTTATCCCAGGGGCTATATGCAAAGGCCCAAAAATATTGGGAGTTTTATTTCACATTTGTGGGGATTTGGGTTGAGGCAGGTTCAGTGGGGAATATTCATTTTGGGGAGAAAGTGTATGTAGTTCAGGTGCTTTTTTGTTTTCCAAAAGAAACAGGAGTTTAGAAAAATCTACACTGGCAATACCAAAGACCCCAAAATGTGCATTTCAGTTAATATCATGGCATCTATTTTTCACATTCCATAACTTTCACTTAACACATACAGCTGACTCTAGTTATAGTGAACTTGGATATAGTGAATCCTCAATTATAGTGAACTTAAGATACTGGTCCAGTTTCACTTACGTTACAAATAAGCATTAGAATATTCAATTATAGTGAACTGGAATCTCAGCTATAATGAACATTCTGGAAATTAATTCCTTCCTGGAGGAGAATATAACACTAGTGCCATAAATTCTAACACTAGGCAGCTTGAAACAATATTGTCGGCCAAAGTTATATTTGAGTACTTTCTCCTGTAGTGGAGGTAGGGGACTTGGAATGGGAATCTTACAGATGACCTAGTGCCTCTCAGTTTCACTGCTGAAGCAAAGGCCATGTGCTACATGGGCTCCAGTGGTGGCTGGCGACAGGAAATTACCTACTTCATTTCAAGATTAGGGTTACTCGATATTTCGTGGGACGAAGCGCATTGAGTTCTAGGTAGCTGACAGGAAGCACAAAATTGCCACAGCCTTCCGTTATCTGCCATGCTAAGCAGCAAAGCAGTCAGTTTTATTTGTTGCTTGCGCTATACCGCTGAAGAGAACATCTTGTATATTGTTAGGCGAGTAAAAAGGCCTTCGGAGAGTAGGATGTTGTTCCAACACTGCATGAGGCATTGAAGGGTGTCAAGACTGCATTACAATACTTAGGTATTGAAGACAATGCTCAACCACATATGGAGAGAGCATTAACTCTGAAGAAAGTTATAGAGAACTTACTAATGAAAAATGTACCACACAAAAAACTGAAAATATTTAAAGTTTTTAAGGACAAAGAAATATTTTGAATTTTTTAGATTGTGTTGTTAATGAATTTGGCTGTATATGAAAAAAATCAATTGTTTTGGAGAAATTCTAAATAATTTGGACATCATTGGATGTAGTGAACCAAAAACGTTAGTCACTAGAAATTGACTATAATGGGAGTCCACAGCATATGCAGGATACTGAGAAAGTAACCATCGAGTTAGATTTGTGATTTTTACTACTCCACTGATTGAGTGATCTGTTTGTTAAATAGGTAAATGAGGTTTTCCTGGTATGAGTAAATGAAAAGGGGGATGGAATATCCAGGTGAAAGATATTCTTTCAACTTTTGCTTTTGTATAATTACATGAGTGCATTGTGATGTAATTTTCTGATGTTTTGCTGTAGGATCCTCTTGCGGCTTGCTCTGAAAGTACTTCTTTTGCAACACTCAAACCAGATATTGCTTCATGTTGCCCAGGTGAGTGGAAACAAGATTTTAAGTAATTTCTTAAATCGACTTGCAGAGGATACTTTTAATCTCGTTTACTACTAGTGGGAAACAGTGACAATTGACTTATAAAGAATTCATGGAGGTCTTATTTGTAAAGACATCACATGTAATTGAATTGGTCATTTGTAAAGCCACTCGTCGGTAATTTAAAACTAGATTACCTAAACAGACGTACTTTCTTTCATTATTAAAAATATTTACGTAATTTTGAAATATCACTTTATATGTCACTACAATGCAATACGTTATTCAGGCTTAAGAAAATACGAAATATACTTATCATTTTGTATCGCGCTGTGGACACAGTCCTGTTCTCGAGACCTGATAACACGGAATTTACAATTTTCTCCTAAAATTCTATCACTTTTAAAATAAAAAAAAAGAATAAAAAGAATGAATTTAAAAATAAAGAATGAATGAAAAGTAACAAATTTTACATTTAAAATGACAATGGGTAACCTAAATGAGTCGGATCGTAATTAAATACTGTGTAAGGGGAGTTTGAGTAAGGTAGAGAAATTTAAGAAGGAAAAAGAACCATATCTTAGTTTAATTATACCATATGTATAAATTAGTTTAGCATTTTTTTTGGAGTCTTTCAGATTTATGAATTATTGTCTTAACAGTCTTTTATCCCTTCTAGAGTTTATACTTTCTCTCTATAGTTTGCAACTTAATAGGTTCTCTAAGAAGTAACGTAACAGAATACTCTATATGCCACTTGCTCATAATGACATTTACCAATCTCTTTCTTAACTAGCGGTGGTATAATTATCGGTACATTAATCTTTTTACATTTCGTGGATTTTCATACATATGCAGATAGGTAAACTTTTCTAGGAATAATTTTCTAATGGAGATGTAATTTTCCCTCAACCATTCTTCAGAGGTATAATGCCTACTTAAAAATATACATGTATATATAGACACACATACTCACACACACACACTCACACACACACTCACACACACACTCACACACACACTCACACACTCACACACACACACACACTCACACTCACACACTCACACACACACACACACTCACACACACACACTCACACTCACACACACTCACACACACACACACACACACACACTCGTACATACAAAAAAAATTTAACATGCATACAAAATATACATATAATTTTGTATCTCATTGAGGACACCATCCTGAAGGACAATTATATGTAGTACTGATGCATGTGATGTTATGCATCAAAGTACAATTTATTGGTATACTGTCTTAGTAACTACCATATGTCCATTAGATTTTGCAACTTTTCCAGAAGGAAAATCAATCAAAATTTTGAAAATAATGTACCAATTGTATATTATGAATACTTATTATGCTAATTTATTTTAATTATTTATAATTATTTTGCTAATTTAAGGCTAATATAATAAAATATACTATTTACAATTTCATCTCAATTATTTGATAAATACATTAGAAAAATTGTAGATGCTGCACAAAAACATCTATGACCTTTGTGTGTTGCATCTAATACTACTATTTCTAATAACATAATTGGATACTTTGTAATGTAAAATAAAATGAGTTTAACATAGGACTTTCAAGATAGTATAATCCAAGAAAATTTTAATATACAGTTACATTTCTTAATATAATATAATTTTTTAATGTAAATGGCGAAAAAGGATGTTGATATCAATGTACACATGGTTTTATGAAAAGGATGTCTGTAATATTTCAAGCAATGAAAGGTATAAAAATTATAAAATAACGTACCCATGATATTGATGCTAAAGGCATTACTGAAGACATATGAATTGTAGCGTCTTTATATACTGCTGATATTTTTTCTAATTCTTTATTTCTTGGGCAGTAAGCACAGGGATTCTCCAATCTCGTGTAAAATTCACACTTGCACTCTTCTGTCATGTTGAATTATAAATGTGGTCTTGAGATAGTGTGATTTAAAAATTAGTTATGAATTAACCTCTTTACAAGATTGAAACGCTAAAATATTATTGAACTAATATATTATTGAAATAACGCGATCTAGGCATCTCAATAGCCCTCAACGCCTCAAAACACATAAAATTATAAAAATTATTTTGGGCTAAAATTTTGAAAATATAGAGAATTTATAACTAAAATTGGAATTCTATTACAAAAAATGAGAATATTTGAAAATAGAGAAAACTTAAAAAATAATCTGGTCCAGAGGCCCGGTTTATGTACTTCTAGCAACGCAATTGGGCTTGGGCAATTCAATCCCACCTACTATGTATACACCAAACACTGTTACTATAATTGTATCATACGGCAAGCCGTTCTCAATTAATATGAAATAAAATTCAGCACTTCATCACACTTCTTAACAATGTTAAGCACAAAGAGTTGCGTTGGACTAATATGGCCGTTTTGGGAACTCACTGCCCTTAAGGAAAATCTCTTTGGGCGACAATGCTTAGGACGTGCCACTATATTTTTTTGTCGATGGAAACACGTGTGTCGTGATAAATTCCAATAAATATGTATCAATAAATCCACCCTAACCAGTACACTTTGCCATTTTGTACCGTACAATTCGCTTGAAATGAGTTGCTACAAAAGTCAATTGTTTTTTATTACTAAGCTATTTCTCAATGTGTCAACACTTCATTCTACCTAGCAAGTGGAGAGCTTTGTTCTTTGCCGTAATGCTAATGCAAGTGTTCTTTGTTGACAGATGGCGAATTTCCTACTGATATGAGTATCCACAGTTGTGAAAATCCTTTCTGCTTTTCTCTCTGCGAAAAGAAAAGTGAGAAAAGAAACTTAACTATTCATAAGCGCACCGACAGTGAGAAGTCTCTTCAGTGTCCTCTGTGTGAAAAAGCATTCAGTCGAAAAGATCTCTTAGATGAGCACATGCGCACGCACACTGGTGAGAGGCCTTTCCAGTGTTCAGTCTGTGGAAAGAGATTCATAAGAAAAACACACGTCAATCAGCACATGCGCACTCACACTTGTGATAAACCTTTCCAGTGTTCTATATGTAAAAAGAGCTCCAAAAGAAAAGGAGACTTACTCACATGCGCACGCACACTGGTGAGAAACCTTTCCAGTGTTCTATCTGTGAAAAGAGTTTCAGAACAAGAGTACAATTAGATAATCATATGCGCACGCATACTGGGGAAAAACCTTTCCAGTGTTCTATATGTGGTAGGAGCTTTTCTGTAAAAGTAAACTTAGATAAGCACATGTACACACACACTGGTGAGAAACCTTTCCAGTGTTCTCTCTGTAAAAAGGGCTTCAGGCAAAAAGAAAGCATAGTTACACACATGCGCAAGCACGCTGGTGAGACCCCTTTCGTGTGTGCTATCTGTGGAAAGAGCTACAGTGTAAAAAAAAGCTTACATAAGCACATGTACATGCACACTGGTGAAAAACCTTTCCAGTGCTCTATATGTGAAAAGAACTTCAGTGTAAAAGAAAGCTTACATGCGCACATGCGCACGCATTCTGACGAGAAACCTTTCCAGTGTTCTATCTGTGAAAAGAGCTTCAGAACAAAAGTAATATTGCTTAGACACATGCCCACACACACTGGGGAGAAACCTTTCCAGTGTCGTCTTTGTGAAAAGACCTTCGGTCGAAAACCAAACTTAACTAAGCACATGCTCACGCACACTGGTGAGAAACCTTTCCAGTGTTCTATCTGTGAAAAGTGCTTTAAAACAAAAGAAGAATTGCATAGACACATGCGCACTCACACTGGCGAGAAACCTTTTCAATGTTCTCTCTGTGAGAAGACATTCTCTCAAAAAGGAAATTTGGATAAGCACATGCTCACGCACACTGACGAGAAACCTTTCCAGTGTTCTATCTGTGAAAGGAGCTTCAGAACAAAATGGGAATTGCCTAGGCACATGCGCACGCACACGTGAAAATTCTTTAGCGTTCTATCTGTGAAAGGAGCTTCAGAACAAAAGGAGAATTACTTGGGCACATGTGCACCCACAGTGATGAGAAACCTTTCCGGTGTTCTATTTGTGAAAAGACTTTTGTCAAACCCCACACTTAAATAATCACATGCGCACGCACTGGTGAAAAACGATTCCAGTGTTGCATCTAAAATGAGCTTCAGAGTATAAGAAAACTTGGATGTGCACATTCGTTTTGGAAACTTGTATTTCACGCTGATGAAAAATCTTTCTTGTGTTGTCTGTGAAAGCAGTGCAGTTAAGAAAAGAAATTAAATAAGTACAGGCTCCCGTTCACTGGTGAGAAACCTTTCCAGTTTTCTTTCTACAAAAGCTCAGTGAAACAGAAAACTTGCCACATGCGCTCCCCATACTGGTGAAAAGCATCGGAAGTGACAAGGACTTGAGTACAGATGCAAACTTGTGATCACATGAGCATGATCGCTGTTTAGTAAAGCTTTCGTTGTGTGGAATGATGAATGGTATTTCTGAAACCTTTGAAAAGCCTGTATTGTTACTAAAATTGTCCATCGGTGTAGATAAGCAGCATTATTTCGACCGATTCTGCTGAGACTTATCCATGGAGTATCTTAATGAGTGACAGTGTTTAGTCGATGAAAGTGCTTGTTGCCCTTCGAATGCAAGACCACGACTCTGACCCTCATGTGCTGAGCACGCGACTTTGGCCCTTGGGCGACTGTGTGAAACCTTTAACATGTGAAACCTTTAAAATAGTTTTTCCTTTGTAGTCTTGCATTTGAGCCATTCTGGCCAGCACACAGCTGTGTTCAAGCAGCGCTGAGGTGATGAGTGCGATTTGGAACTATTTTCTGTAATTCAGTTTTGTATAAAATTCTATGTCTAGCCACAGACGTACTGCCACTCACCAAACTAGAATAATTATTTATTTAAAATTGTAATTCTAAACTGCCCATTGGGCGAAGAATGTAGATTTATAATTTGGAGTTATACTGCTCTCTGAGTCCGGCCCTTTAAGCTTTAGCAATACCCCGTTGTGGTCACTAATCCCCTGCACCACCTCGCAGTCGATGGCGGCAGCTCGAGTATCAGCTCTAATGCGTAAGAATTGTAATACGGGAATTTTTGTAACTAAATAATGGTATTGAATTGTCTTATAAATGTTCTTAAAACATTTCCTTAAAAATGGTTTCTAATGTGTTTTATTTTACCCTGTAAAATCCCTTGCATTTGAATTTGTAAACTTTTGCAGTAAAACAATAAAGATTCTAATAACAAGTGGGTTTAGAATTCAAGGTTCAAATCGTATGCCGCCTCTTTGGCTGCCCTCAAAGGCGGCCATGACTTTCCTTTCCTCGACACTCCTCTACTCACCCCTTCACTCGCCCCACCATTCGTCCCTCTTCGCCCCTCCACTCGCTCCACCAGTCCCCCCTCTTGCCTCATCACTCGCTCCACCCCTCGCCGCACCATTCGCCCCTCCACTCGCCCCACCACTCTCCTCCACGCTCCCCTTCACTCTCCCCTTCACTCGCTCGTCTACTCGCCCCTCCACTCGCTCCCAAAACTCGAACCTTTACGCGTCTACCACTGCGACACTCGCGCAGCGCAAGATAATAGCAGCTTTAAGAACCTTAAACCGTCGCTGTCAGGACTGGAGGAGACTCAATTCCACTGTTGGAGGCAAGTGGGGAAGGGGGTATATAAGAAGCACGCCGGTCTTTGAAACTAACTTTTAATTGCTTTCAAAAATGTCCAGGAGATCACGCCATCCCATGGGCGCCGCCTTGCACATTGCCCACAGTTTCCCAGAATCAAACGCCTGCCCAGTTAAGACGCAAAGAGATGGCATTGTTTAAAGTCTGCAGAGTAGCCTGCTGTGGCGGAGCGCATCGCATCGCTCGTGAAAAAACGAATTAAATTCGAGTGCAGTGAAAGTGAATTACAGTCGAAGGTTGGTCGTGTCCAAAGCCAATTTGGATTACGTTCTCCGTGCTCTGTCTTGAAGCGCGCGAGAAACAGTGGTGCTACGCGAACGCTGCATAACGAAACGAAAATACTCAGGAAACGATTTCCTTTTGCCTCGACACTGGAAAAACTGACCGTTTCTCCAAATCTTAATGCCGCTTACACCGTCATGCTAAGCATCTTTACCTTTGTTTTTTGGAATTTTCCGTCGTTTGAAAGTGTTAGAAGGCCGTATGGTAGATTCCCTTCGTCCAACCACTTCAGAAGTTGTCCTAAAACACTCGAGCTATACTCGCAACTTTAACAGGAGTTGACTTGACCCACGAACTTGGCCAGTGGCCAAGAAATTCTTCAAAGGATCTGCCGTTGAACACGCGATGCCGCTGAAGTTCAGTTGTGCCGATTACAGTCAGTGAACAGCGAAATAGGAATATCCATTTTTGATTCTGTTTCAGGACTTTTTGGAAACTTTGAAAAACTCGCTCGTGTGCAAATGAAAAGGTTTCTTCCGGTAATTCAGTTGTCCACCGCTATATATGTCTGAATGTCTCTCGATATTTGAAAGTGGTACCATTCGTAGTGAGAGTATTTTTTGTTTTTGTTTATTGACACTAATAAGAATGGAAGTTTTGATGAAATTAATAAAGTTCGTTAGCAGGTACCAGATTTTTCTATTGAATATTGTATGCATTGAATTATTAATTTGTAATTAATAACAATGGATAAAAAAGGTAAGGAGTCTAAGGAAGAAACGAAAATTCTGATAATGTTGAAATTTTCAAACTTGAGAGAATGTTAAATAGGAAATATGTTTCTCCACAAACTGTTGGAATAATTAAAAGAAAGGTGGTATTAGGTAAACCACTTGCACCAACAAAGCGGCCAAACTAAGGGGAGAAAGACCACGCGAAGACAACAAATTTTGGGAAAAAATTGCTTTGGGTAACCGAAAGTCTCTTAAGAACATTCGTGATGCAGGTTGTAATTTAATCACAAAGTCAGTTCATAGGCGTCTTCACGAATGTGGTTTACGATGCCGCCGACAAATAAAAAAGCTTAACTCCAGCCGTGATGAGAAAGGGTAGAATTATTTGTTCTTCCAGACGAGCAGACGTTCTGTTATTTTCCCACTATACATTCCTCACTCCCCCTCTTTTTTACCTCTTACCTATATCCTTTCTTATGATTCTCTACATATGAAGTATGATTCTCTACATAGTAGTTGCCGGGTCGGAGTTATGGAATTTGAGTTGTCTGTTGATTGTGCTCACGTGACGATCGACGTTCGCTTGGGGGGTAGAGTCGCGTGCTTCCATAGGGTTACCAACTTTTGAAATCCGTAAAAGATCAGCGTTGTAGGGTGCAACTTTTCCCACTGCCGTAGACATTTTGATTGATTCGCAATCAAGCCTTGCATATCTTCGCACTGCTGAACGTCCCCCATTCAATACTGCGATGGGAGTTATCGCACCCGTGCTAAGCGTGAGTCTACTTAAGATATTGTGACTCCTTCTTGAATGACTCTTCCAACGTTGTCTTCTTTTTTCACCACGTCGTCGTACACCCCCTCACCTTTCGTGGAATATTCGTTGTCACTCATGTCTTGAGCCGACATGCTGATAACGATGAACTGTTGTCAATGCGGATGACAGCGTTTATTGTTACAAAGACGCTGCCTGTCACGTCAATTTCGACCAAGAGAACATCTTGACCGCCGAGATCGTCCAGATCGAGACCTTGAATAAAACGCTCTGCAAGTCGAGTTATGTATAGGAGGGCACGTTACGTCTCAGAGCCATATTGCGAAGGAAAGATCGACAAAAATGTCCATGAATGGCTAATATATTTTCTTCATACGCGTCTTCATCTTCCTCTCTCTACATCACAGTATCTCCCTCCTCTTCATCGCTTGATGATAGGGGTTGGGGTTCGACTAATCTACACATCGGACGGGTGTGGGCTCTTATCATCTTGCCTCTACATCCATCCTTCAATACAGTTTTTACAAAATATATGATTACAGATTGTTTTCGTCCATAGTATAATGTCGATGACGGATGGGGCAAATAAAATCAGTTGTAAGTAGTCTGCACACTACTAAAGGGGGGAGTAGAATGTAGAATCCATGATTGGATGGAGTGTATAGGATGCCACAAAGTTCACAAAAGAAAGCACACGAGGCAGGAGGTCACCGTGATCAATTGAATAAAATTGAAGGATAGTTTCGACAATCATTACAGTCATAATCCATGCTGTTAGCGATGTACTACACGCATTCAATCATCCCCTGTGAACAAGCCGCGCAGTTCCTCATTGTCGTCGATGAGCGTGCGCCCGATGGCGGAAGTCCGAGGACGCGGTGGAGCTTTTGAACGTCCTCAGGTAGACGCACCCCCCTCTTTCGCTGCTGAGGATCGTCAGAGAATTGCGGCCAGCAGATGATGGAGACTCGTCGCGCGTTCTGAGAGAGCGCGACGATGTTGAGTAGTATTGTTTGATGGCTTTGTTGATGTCTTGTAGCTACTTGACGATAAGCTGAAGTTGATTGTTGCGAGTCACGTTTTCCTTGTCTATGTTTTTCCTGGTGGGCTTCATCCGGATGCTTCGGTTGCTATGATAGACTAATAAAAAAGTTCACCGCGTCTTCTACCCCTCGTGTAGTGAGAACGAAAAGGAGCACAAGGTGTGTCAATGTTATCACATCCTGACTGAATGAGATTATGGAACGGAAGTACTCCCAGGAATCGTGTCGTCCCTCAGAAAGGGCCATCTTGTCTTTTTCGAACGAGGTTTGTTACGCTGCTGTCGATCAAGTTTGGACGATACGTTGTAAGCCAAAGCATTAAAGCCAGAATGTGTGCTTATTTCCCCGAGTATCGATACAAGGTGCCAAGTCACATCAGCTCTTCACAAAAGGACCACACAGGAGTTGATTGGAGGACAGTTGAGTACTTCCAGAACGATGTCAAAACAAATGGCGTACACACGTAACTATTTTGCCATCTCTCCTTTGACGTGAATTTTGTGAATGCCGTCAACGGCTCTGCAAATTAATTAATGTCTAGAGGTGTACGGAAGGTTCCTGCAAGGCGGTTGATGATGCTCTTCAATACATTTTCGTATTGATCGCGATGTGTGTCGTTGAGATCATCGTTCACAGGGCGCTGGGCGGTTGAAACGTGAACCCGTTACGCTTCTTTTTCACTCTTTTTATCTCTCTTGTCCTTTCTTTTTCCATTTCACTTTTCCCCTTCTTTCTCTTTCCTCTTACTCTCTTTTCTCCTTTTTCCGTCCGTTTCACATTTTCTTTTCCCTTCTCGCTCTATATTTTTCTTCTCTTTCTCCCTTTTTCCTCTTTCTCTTTCCCCTCTCCTTTCACTCTTCTCTCTTTCCTCTCATTTTCCCGTTCTTTTTCCTCTCCTTTTTGCTGCACTTTTCCCCCTCTCACTTTCCATCCCTTTGTCACCTCTATATATTCCCTCTGTTCCCTTCTATCCCGCGTTGTCCTATCGTCCTGGCCTCCTCGTCCCCGCCCCGCATCACGCAGCAACGCCCAGCAACAATAATGGTGGGTGGATTGGGAACAGCATTTAAGTGAAGCGCCATCTTGTGGTGCAACGCCATCTAGTGGAGTTACAACACAATGAACATATGTGGAAAAACACGTATATGTGCCAAGTTTTATGGGGTATCGTTTGCATGGTGAAGGATTTCACCACTCTCTCTCTCTCTCTCTCTCATATATATAGGGACGGCAGTTAAATCCGGACAAATATCAATTTGAATTTTCCGTCATATCGTAGCTCTACTAGAGATCGCGATTGGCGTCCTTGAAATCCGGACGCATCTAGTAAACAGTCTTAACCTTAAAGTGGCCGAAATGTTACGTACAAGTGCGGAATACAATCGTAGAGCCGCTATTATAGAAAACCGTCGCTTTGGGAAATCATTCGGTCCATTTGGTACCCGAGGTCGACTGTTTATGATGGGCAGAGAATACGTATTTCAACAGGACGGTGCACCGGCTCACACAAGTCATTTAGTCCAACACTGGCTATCAGACAATGCGGGCATGTACCAATCCAAATAGTTTTGGCTCCCTAATAGCCTGGATTTAAACCCCCTCGACTACTGTGTTTGGAGCGTTACCAACAAGTCGCGGCACCCTAATGTGGCGTCTCTACGCGCCGCTATCGAAGCATTCGCCAATAGGGACAGTACTGCGTTACAGAGTGCGTGCGGGCGCTTTAGGACAAGGATGGACGCGGTAATTGAGGCCAACAGTGGGTACATTGAGTAATTGTATTCCTAACAGGTTACACGAGTATTGACTAAATTCATTTTCTTTTACATTTGTACTTTGTGTCAATAAGGATTACCTAAAACCATGTTATGTTCGCATTTAACTATGCATTCTGGTACACACACAATATATATTGTATATATATTGTATAGTATATATGTCTATATTATATGTAATATATATGTTATAGTATATATGTATTATATTATTATAATTGATATAATGTATATTATATTGATAGTATATATATATATATTATATAGTAGTATATTTGTGACGAACGGGTGTGAGTAGGTTCGTCCCACATGCCCACATGTAACGGCCTGTGCAGAACGGGTGAAGCCAGCGCGGCGAGTTCGAAACGGGCCCCGCCGCCAAGGAATGTTGCCCGCGGTACAGCGCAGGAAAATGACGTGGAATAGTCGGGAGGGGGAGACGCGTTACCCCTACATCGGAGGGCGCTTCATAAATACGGGACCGCGAGCGATAGCTCTTTCGTTCCGTTCGCCAAGCCAGATCTCTCGCCTTAGCTATTGTCCGCGCAGCAACGACTTCGCTTATTAGATAGGAGTATAAGACGTCGAACTG